GGGGCGGGGCGGGGGGCACGCAGCGGCGGTCACGTAGCCCGGGTTCCTGGCTTGCGGGTGTAGCACGCGTTTTTCTTCTGCTCCGGTTCGCTCCGCCATCGTTCCGCCATCATGCCGATGTTCGTCGTGAACACCAACGTGCCCCGCGCGTCCGTGCCCGACGGGCTTCTCTCCGAGCTCACCCAACAGCTGGCGCAGGCCACCGGCAAGCCGGCGCAGGTCGGCCGGGAGGGGGCGCGAGGGGGTGCACGCGCGCCGGGGGCCCCGGGCTGGGGCTAGCGGACGCGGGCTGAGGCTCCGGGGGCTGGGGGCCGGGAGGGCGCGGCGCCCGGGGCCCATGGCGGCCCTGCAGCTGACCTGCTCCGCCCCCCGCAGTACATCGCGGTGCACGTGGTCCCGGACCAGCTCATGGCTTTCGGCGGCTCCAGTGAGCCGTGCGCGCTCTGCAGCCTGCACAGCATCGGCAAGATCGGCGGCGCGCAGAACCGCGCCTACAGCAAGCTGCTGTGCGGGCTCCTGGCCGAGCGCCTGCGCGTCAGCCCAGACAGGTGCCGGGGGTTCGGGGGCCCGGGAGGCCGGGGGGTCGGGGGGCCGGGGGCGCGCGGGGGACGCGGCGCTGAGCTCTCCGCTCCGCAGGGTCTACATCAACTACTACGACATGAACGCGGCCAACGTGGGCTGGAACAGCTCCACCTTCGCCTGAGGGCCGCGCCGGCTGCAGTGGCCGTGCCCCCCCCCCCAGCCTGCACCCCTCGCGATCCCCAGAAATAAACGGTTCAGAGACCACGCTGTGTGCGCTTCACTGGCTTGGGAAGGGATCTGGGCGGGCCCTGGGGTCAGGGCCGGGCTGCCCCGGGAGCCTCTGTGCCCAGCCTTCCCTCCCATTCTCCCCGCCCGAGCAGAAGCTGCAAACCGGAAAAACCCGACCGCCGTCAAGTCGTAACGACTCATAACCACCCGGTCTCAGAGAGTTTGCAAGGCTCAAACCTTTCCGGAAGGATCGCCTGGGGGTTTGAACCTCTCCCGGTCCGGTTAGCGGTCAGCGGTCTTAGGCACTGTGCCACCAGAGCGCGCCCCCACACAGCTGGCACTGCGCTTTCCCCTAGGGGCACCCAGCCCTCTACAGCACTAACAGAAAAGTTCGGCCTTGTTTCCAGCGCTGCCCTTCGTGGTTGGGTAAGAAGGTTCTGGAAGCCCTTCAAGGGGAAGCCCGCCCTGTGGGACAGTGAAGGTGCTGGTTCCGAGAGCGGCAGCCAAGCCCAGCTTGCCCACACCTGGGGGCGTTGGAGCTGACAAAGTGCTTACCCAGGCCTGTTGCCAGGGGTGCTGCGGGCTCCCAGCATTGGCTCCTTCAAGTGGGCACCGTGCCAGCACTGTGGGGGTGCTGGGAGCCGAGGCCCCTGAGTCTTGACAGTGAAGGGCTGGTTCCACCCTCGGTGCCCCGGCGGGAGAAGAGGTGATGGGCGCCACTCATCCAGAGCTCTGTGTGCTAGATAGACCGGGTCTTGTGCCTGGTTGGCTGGGACCCCTCGCTCTTCCTCAGGCTCTCTCCAGGCGAGAACACCAAGTTCAAGTGTATGTGTTTCTGGGAAAAGGGTGGTCTGGGGTGGGTGGGCGGTTTCCAAGTGGAAGTGAGGCTCTGGTGGAAGTGGGGGCTCCCCTGAGCGTGTGGAGAGGCCACAGGTTAGGCTGGGGGCCCGTGATGCCCCCGCCTCATCTTCCCTCACCATAGGGGCCTTGTGTGAATGCCTGACGCACTGGGAGATCCCAGTGGGCGGCCAAGGACAAGTCAGTCCTCACCGGCAGCTGCAGAAAACTTGGCCTCATGGACCACTGACCCCGGGTTTGATCTTTTTTGGTCGTTTCCGAGTGGATCCAATTTGCCTCTTGTCATCACAGCCACGTGGGCCGTGTGCCTGGCCTTTTTGGCAGCCTCTTTGGCCTGGGGGAGCCCTCTTGTCCAGTGCCCGCCCCTACACTCAGAAGGGCGTGGAGACGGGGTGGGGGGCGAAGAGGAGAATCAGAACTCAAAGGTGACTGGAGCGGTGTCGCTGATGTAGCACCTGAGACACAGTCATCTCCAGATGCTGTAGAGTGAGCCCCGACCTGGCCCATGGCCCCACTTGGTGGGAGGCAGTGTGGTCCCATCCTGAGCGGAAGGGCTGGAGCTGGGTCTGTGGCACGGTGTGGGGGTGTCTGGGGGTGGCATGGGCAGCCGCAGCATAAGGTCCCTCTCCACTCCACTCCCCTGGCTAACGGCTGGCGTCCTAGTGGGTGTTACCTGCTGTTTGACAAGAATGACCTCTGGCTGGGCCTCTGTCCCATCATGCCTCGCTCCCAGGTGCCCTGACGCCCAGCCCCTCAAGGCCTGAGACGAGCTTGCTCAAGCCCCCCCCCCAAGTCTTTCCCAGTTCCCAGCACAGAACCTCTTTCCTCATTGGGCCCCTCCGGCCCCTCCCTGCCCCCCTCCATCACTGGGACCCCTCTGTTGTCCCTGCAGCAACTTTCAGGACGGCCTGCTCCCTGCCTCCAGCCCCAGCCCCAGCCAGTCTGCCTTTCTGGCCCCGGGGCCTGCCTGGCGTATGGTCACGGGGGAGCAGTACCACACGACCTCTCGTCCACTGCCTTCATTTCACAGTTGAGTGTGTCTTTGGGCGCCACACGTGGCCGCACAAAGATAGGGCCCTGGTTCGTGTTTCCTGTGACGAAAGGAGACTGGTCTTTTGGGCTGGGGGTCCATGCTGTGTAGGGGTGGGGCAGCTCACAGGTACTGCGAGCAGGGTGGCAGCTAGGTCTCCGCAGGCCTCCAGGTTCTTAGACTCCAGAGCGAGGGGGCATTTCTGAGACGGGGGTCTCCCTCTCTCTGGCCCTGCCCCCAAGGCCACCAGGCTGTGGCCAGCCTTGGAGACAGCTGTAGGAGCTCAGCTCCTAGTGACGCCTCCCATCAGCCCTTGCGATAAGAGCTCTGGTGGTGTAGTGCCTAAGGCACTTGACTGCTAACCAGAAGGCTGGTGGTTCAAACCCACCAGCCACTCCTCAGAAGGCAGGTTGGGCAATCTACTTCCATAGAGATACCGCCTTGGGTCGCTATGAGTCAGGACTGACTGGACCTCAATGAGTTTGGTTTTTGTTTTGCCAGCCTCCTCACCCTCATGGCTCTAGGCCTACTGACTCCAGCCTCCGGGTTGGCCCAGCTCTTCCAGCAGGTGGCTTCTGCTGGTGGAAGCCAGGCCATCAGTCCTCACAGGCCTCTGGAGCCAGCCCGGGCCTGGCGGGTGCCCTGTCCTTTGCGGGCCTGCCACCATGTCTGCACGCTGTTGGCCTCTGTGAGCTGGACTTTGTTCTGTGTCTCCCTGGCGCTTGTTGACGTGGAGAAGCAGCCATGCCCGGCCCGGAGTCTCAAGCCAGCCAATTCGGCAGGGCCAGTGTCCAGCACCCCCTCCCCCCACCCCTCTAACCTCTCATTGAGGAGAGCCTTCTGCCCCCCTGAGAGCCTGACTCCCAGCATGCATCTGTCAGATCTGGGGAGCTCTGTCAGGCTCCCCTTACCCAGCCTCCATTAACCCACCTGTGAAGTGGATTCACATATTCTCCCACGCCAGTATGTTGAGTGGGATCACAGTCGTTTGGTGGGGTGGGCGTGTCAGGTGGTGTCATGTCCTCAGAAACCAAAAAACCAAACCCCCTACCATCAAGTAGATTTCGACCCACAGCGCCCCTAGAGGACAGAGTGGAACTGCCCACAGGGTCTCCAAGGCTGTCAGTCTTCAGGAAGCAAAGCCCCAACCACACCCACTGCTGTGGAAGCTATTCTGACCCACAGCGCCCCTAGAGGACAGAGTGGAACTGCACCAGAGGGTTTCCCAGGCTGTCTGTCTACATGGAAGCCGACTGCCTCATCTTTCTCTGCAAAGCGGGCTAGTTGATTCGATCTGCCAGCGTTTTGGTTAGCAGCTGAATGCTTTAACCACTGTGCACCAGAGCCCCTTCATGTCCTCAGAGGCACAGTTAATTGTGCGGCAGGCCTGTAGCAGGAAGAAAGTGGGAGCCCAGGGTCGGTCTCCCTTCTTCCTTGACAGGGTGCTGTTCCTGACCATGGTGGTGGGCAGACCCTGGAGACATGTTGGTCACCCTCTTAGCCTGCAAGGAGGTACAGGGAGGCCAAAGGGACACCGGGGGGGGGGGCACACTGCCCTCGAGAGGGCTTCGGGCAGAACTCTGGCAAACAGCAGAAGCATGTTCAGAGCAGACCCCTAGACTCCACACTGAAGGGCCCACCAGCACCCCAAGCAGTGGGGCCACTGTTCCAGCTCCAAAGCAGTAGCCAGAAACCGTGCAGGGCAGAGACCCTCGGGATCAGTTACGGGAAGGAGCTGAGTCAGGGGCCGAGGACACTGCAGAGTTTCGGGGCCTCTGACGTGTTCCTTGATCCCCTCACCCCACTGGAGAGCTGTGTTGGCCCACAAAGCCATGTTTCTGTAAAGCATGCCTCCTCAGGCCCTCTCCCCAGCTGGGACTTCCCCATCCACAGTCAAGAAGCAGAGGGCCAGCTGAGAAATGGACACCTTGCATACCCATCAGCTGCTGGCCTGAGGCACAAGGTTCTGGTGTTCCAAAGACCCCTCCCTGGTCAGTGGGCAGAGACCAAGGTTATCAGTCATCTAGAAGTGGGCTCTCTCCAATCCCTTCTGGAGGGGCGATGGGGATGGCCCTCAACACTCGCCCAGATCCAAGTCCCAGAGCCACAAACAAGAAGCTGTCTCCTCTTCCCCCACCAGCAACCGGTTTGTGGTGGACCTAGTTTTAGTCTTTTCTCTTTTGGAAAGGTCCTGATAGTTTCCATCCAAGGGTGGTCATTGCTGATGTCAGATGGATCTTGGCTGAAAGCAAAGAATACCAGAAAGATGTCCACCTGTGTTTTATTGTCTATGCAAAAGCATTCGATTGTGTGGATCATAACAAATTGTGGTAACGTTGAGAAGAATGGGAATTCCAGAACATTGATTGTACTCAAGAGGAACCTGTACATGGATCAGGAGGCTGTCGTTAGAATAGAATGAGGGGACACTGTGGCTTAAAATCAGGAAGGGAGTGTGTCAGCATTGTATCCTTTCCCCATACTTACTCAATCTGTATGCTGAGCAAATAATCTGAGAAGCTGGACGATATGAAGAGTGCCAAACAGGCAGGGAGGCCACATGTTCTGACCTCCTCTAACCCCACAAGAGGAAGACAGAATCACCATCAACAGCCCAAGGCCTATTCCCACCAGGCCAGACATGCTGCCTCCCTCCAGCCCTTTCTCTAACCGTTCCTCCCAAAGCACCCACCACCTCTCTCCTGGGTTCGATAATTCGCTGCAGTGGCCACACAGAACTCACAGATTACGGAGTTTGTTAGGGAAGCACCAGGCTACAACTCAAGTTCAGGAAAAACACTCAGTCTCTCTCCCAGCCCACCGTCTCTCAACCAACAGTCTCTTACAGTCTCTTTCCCAGCAGTGCGTGTCCCTCGGTGTCTCACTCAGCAATGCGTGTCTCTTGCGTCTCTTTCCCAGCAACACGTGTCTCTTTCAGGAGCACGTGTCTCTTTCAGCAGCACATCTTCCTCAACCAGCAGTCAGAGAGAGTTCTGCCCCTAGGAAGCCTCCTTTTGAACCCAACAGAGTGCCCAAACCAACCAATCATAACATGAGAATTCTAA